GTACCTCATGGGTGTAGCTTTTCATAGGCACAGTGAAAGCTCTACCAAGACCAAGATCAGCAATCTTCAGTATCCCCTTCTCCTTGTCCACCAGCAGGTTTTGTGGCTTTAAATCCCTATAAATAAATTTGAGCATGAACCATATAAGTGGAAAATGCGATGTTGAATTCATCTGATGAGTTCAGCAACAGAAATCCAACCGGTGAAGGACACCATGGCCATGGCAGTGTGCAACTCCTTTGCATAACTGATACAGGAAATTCTAGAAAGAAGTAAAGAAAGTACATTAGTTCAAAAGGAACCAAAGGAGGGTGAGCTTCAAAACTTGGTATATAACAATCAAGAATTGCTGCATTGGCCAAACAAGTTTTCAAGAGAGTAAAGGTAGAAGAGAATGACTCATCGCCCATGATGTACTAAATGCTTCACTAGTCAAATACAGTGTGTTTTACTGGAACTTTTCTCGAATCACAAGGACGGAACGCCAAGTAAGGGGATTGGGGGCCAATCTGGGTCCTCACAAATTATCAATAAACAGTGCAGGATAGTTGCTTCCAAAATTTAACTCTCTTGTCGTTAATTTGAGAAACTGTAAACACAGATTAACACATCATCTGCCAGCTTACTGAAAAATATAATCAGTATATGTTGACTTACGACAGTTAACTACTGAACCTGAGAAACAACGTAATTCGCCTGTGTTCAGTGCAGAACCAGGAGAACAGACAAAACATCCGAATTCAATTTCACAGTTAAGTGCTTTGATTTTACAGTCGGCCAACATATATAGAGCCCAATGTTTTGAACCTATGATGATCCAGTTAGATCCTCACCTTTGTCGGAGCTGAAAATACCATTTGTAATGCACAGGCTAGTTTGCTCTGGTCAAGAGGGATCAATTGCAGAGATCGATTGGAGCATGAGCAGTAGACATTTATGTGGCTTTTTTCCTTCTGATCAGGACTGTACCGTTCTGAGAATTAAATTAAGGATGTGATTTGCAACGCACAGGCTACTTATTTCTGATCACGAAGCGCTCGATTGCTCAGAAAACCGATTACAAAATGTATCACTTTTTTTACAGATGATAGGGGTGAACTGAGCAGCCAACTAATAACTACTCCTCGAGCGACAATTGACAAGAAATGAGTAAAGTAAGAGTGATTTAGAACCTTGATGAGTGTGGCGGGGAGCGGCCTGGCGGCGGGGCCCCTGCGGTAGACATCGAGGTACTTCTTGAGGTCGGTGTCGAGGAACTCGAAGACGAGGTAGAGGACGGGCTTGCCGTTCTTGGCGGCCTGCTCGACGGCGAGGAGGCGGACGACGTAGATGGAGTGGGAGAGGAGGTTGAGGAGGGAGATCTCGCGGAGCGCGGTGGGCGGGATCCCTTCCTCGTCCATCTCGAGGCGGGTCTTCTTCAGCGCCACCAGCTGCCCCGTCGCCTTGTCCTGCGCCTTGTACACCTTGCCGTACGTCCCCTCCCCGACCTTCTCCAGCTTTTCGTACTTGTCCACGATGTTGATCTCCATCGCCGTCGCGTCGGTCGCGCCGGCCGGGCCCTCCCCCCGCGAACACGGATCGCGAACTCTCGCCAGCTGCTGGTGGTGCGGGTGGTGGTGGATGAGGGCGAGGGCGACGCCGCAAAGGCAAACCCTAGTAGGGAGGATAGGGAGGGGGAGGAGGAGTGGGGGGGGTGATTTTGAATTGGGGGGAGAGAGGGAGAGGGAGCCGAAATGTGATAGTGAATGCGACGCCGCCGCACCGCCGCGTGGGAGAGAAATGGGGAGGGAGACGGAGATGGAGTGGATTCCAAATGGGCCGCTCCCGGGCAACGGTCGGAAGGAGGCTGAGGCTTTCGCGCACGCGCGGGCCCACTCTGCATAGGGCGAGCGCAGCGCACAGCCCATGTGCGCCTCCTCCTCCTTTCCTTCCCAACGGTTTGTTTCCGTGTCCACCACCACGCAGATGGTTCAAACTTATAAGCCATGGTCGTCCATCCGCAGGCAGCTCCGTTGGAGCGGTCCCATCCCTCTCTCCCTCTCAGAAACAGAAAAAACGGATTCCCACTCGCTCATCCTCTTTCATCCGGCGCCCGATGCAACATGGCTTCTCATTCGTCCGCGCTCTCGTCGGCTGCCGCCGTGCCCCATAGTCGACCGCGCCGTGCGCCCGTCCCAGACACATGTGCCGCTCGCTCCCTCGCCATCCATCCGTCCATCTCCCATCGTCGTCGCGCACGTCGCTGACCCTGCCATGGCCGTTGGGGCGCATGTGTCGTGGCACCTCAGGCCTTCCCCGGCCGAGCCAAGGGCACTTACGAACGTGGGCGGTGCTAGTGGTGCCCGCGCGCTGCGCTCGCCGCTGGCTCCGACCCCGATGGCCGGAATCGACCGGCCCGGCTTTCCCCTCCCCTATGTTGCATATATTTTTTCAGGTGTTTCGGATGAATGTTGTAATTGTTTTATCTTGATGTTGTAAAAGTAGATCGAGGGATGTTGCACATGTTGCATATGTTACAAGTGTTTTAAAGGCATGTTGCAATCTTTTATTCAAAATGTTTCATCTGTTTTCATACGTATATTTGCAATCGTTTTTGTCTGGATGTTGCATATGTTGCAACAACATGTTCTAATGTTTTAGTTTGTTTCAGTCTTATGTTGCAGCAGGTGGTTTCATGTTACAAGTTGCAAGCGTTTTATTTTAGATGTTTCATGTGCTTTCACACACATGTTATGAAAAGCATGTTTCAAATATTTCATTTATTTTTAGCCTTATATTGCATTCACGTTGGAAGTGTTTTATATTGTTCGGCCGGGGACGAGCCGGAGGCAAACGGACAAGGGCGCTTGGGGCCGGCGGACAGAGGTGCTTGGGGCCGACAAACGGGGGTGCTGCAGGTCGGGGCGCGCTGGGACATGCTCGTCCTCAGCTGCTTATCCCAGCTCCCGTGTGTCGCCCGCGCGGAGAGTTGGGGGGAGAGAGAGAGAGGAGAAGGTCAGAGGAAGGACCAGCGGACGCAAAGACAAGGACGGAGCGCGCTTGTGGGCAGGACAAAGGCGGATGGGGACGGGGCAAAGGCGGATGGCGGCGTGCTACGGGCGACACACGCATGGGCCGCTCTCGGGCAACGGTCGGAAGGAGGCTGAGGCTTCGCGCACGTGCAGGCCCACCCTGCATTGGGTATTTGGGTGAGGGCCTGTGCGCCTCCTCCTCCTTTCCTTTTCCAACGGTTTGTTTCCGTGTCCAGTTGTCCACCACCACGACGATGGTTTCGAACTTCAAATTGCACTGCGTCCGATTCCGAGCTTACGTACTCTGTTCATATTTACGGTGATGGGCGTGCAGTACACGTAGTAATTTGGTGACGCAACTAAGGGATTGGTTTTTCATTACCACATTAATTAAATTATATATATGGCTAATGATGATGAAGGGATCTTCTAGTACTTGCGCGCAGTTAAAATTCATATTTCCTCTGTTCTAAATTATATAGGTTATTTGAGTACCCTCTTTGTCTAAAAAATACTTTAACATTTTAGGATTTTTTTTAAAGATACATTAGTGCTCAACGAGAAGTACTCATGTACCCCTATCTATTAAAGATAAATCATGCTAATTAAGAAATAAGCCCCTCAATAAAAGAAATGTATGAAGACATGCATATCACAATCTCAAGATGGGTCTCAGTCTATTACCTAAGAGCTAAAACATCAAGTTTTTAGGAACATTTTCTTAAATCCTAAAACATCAAGTTTTTTGGGACGGATACATTATTATTTAAAGTTAAATTTCTCTAATTCACATTAATCATCTATGAAAATACATGAACATCTATAAGATCATACCATTCATTAAATCCCCCTTGATATGTGTTTTTATTGTACATTCATTCCAACTAATAGGTGCTAATAATTTTAATTACAAACTTGGTCAACGTCAAATAATGTTGAGGTAGGACAAAGCATAAAGTAATAATATAAAATTTGGAACACAGAGACTACAAAATTAAGGGTGTTGTTTTTTGTTTTCATGCCGGTTAGCCATCTAAGTAGTGCCGTCAAAAATATTGATACGTGTAGACGTGAAAACTCATTCATACATCCAAAGTGCTAAGTAGCACGCACGGATCAAAACGCAGTGGAGCGGGCCAAAACTGGGCTATGCGACTTTTAACATGGCTAACGCCTAAAAAGGTGTTCGCACGCACATTAACACTTTACTGTTTTAAAAAAAAACATGAACACTGTCCACGTGTAATGAAAGTCTTCCACCATCTGCGAGTCTTCCACCATCTGCGACGGAGGAGGTGAAGGCGGTCTCCACCATGGGGAGAGAGAAAAGAGTTGCGTGGGGTAATGCTGGTGAGGCCAGGGCAGCTTGGTCCTTTCGCAATGCGCCTCCATGGTAGCATAATGACCTAACACGTCACGCAAGTAAAAATGGCGGGTTTTTTGTTGTTGTAAATTTGTAAGAAATCTTCTCACTCTGATGGCAAATTTGTAATTAGGAATGTGCTATTTGAATGTGTAAGGAGAGAGTAGAATAAAATTGAAAAGACGAAGAAAATAGCGAGAATAGAATATCGTTTTTGCGGAGGTAATTTTTTTTAAGGAGAGAATAGAATATCTCATTGGTGCCAGCCTACGTGCTCCGACTCGGGCTCCGGCGACCCCTCCCGTCCTCACGACCTCACCGCACCAGCTCACTCCCCCTAGCCTTCTCGTCGGCTCCACCTTCCCATTGCCGTTGGATCTGTCCGCGCCAGGGCACGTGGTCACCGGATTCAGCATTCCGCCTGAGCGCCGTCTCTCCTGTACCCACCCCATTGTCTCCGCCTGGGACCGGTCCGGAGTTTTGCCATAGTCCCTGTGTTAAAACCCCGGTTCCCGTTGGGATTCCCTTCCCTCCTTAGCAGATCCTAGTCGCTGTCTTCTTGTCAGGCAAGAAAGTGAGGGAGGAAGGTCGCCGGCGGCAGCCGGCCGCCGCAGGCTCGGGCAAAGATGTTCCTGCTGGACTGGTTCTACGGCGTGCTGGCCTCGCTGGGGCTCCGCCAGAAGGTGGCCAAGATCTTCTTCCTCGGCCTCGATAACGCCGACAAGACCAAGCTCCTCCACATGCTCAAGGACGAGGTCTGGAAAAAAGATCCCTTTTTGGTATTCTGACTTAATGCCGACTCCTATTTGTTTCGAGTAGATCGGGTGGGATAACGGCTGGAATCCTCAAATTTGCCGAGTGTTTTAATCTTTGCCGAGTATATTCTCTCGGGCACTCGGCGAACAGGCTCTTTACCGAGTGCCGCTCTAAAAACACTCAACAAAAAAAAACACACACGGCAAACAGGACGTTTTGCCGAGCGTCAAAACAAAAACACTCGGCAAAGAGGTTATTTGCCGAGTATTAAAAAAATACACTCGGCAAAGATGTTATTTGCCGAGTGTTAAAAAATACACTCAGCAAACAAAAATACATTCTTTTTTCTGAAAAAGAAGGAGAAGAAAAAAAATAAAAAATAAAAACTTTACCGAGTGCTCAGATACAAAACACTCAGCAAAAAAATAGAAGAAGACAAAAATTAAAAAAAAACTTTGCCGAGTGCCCCATCTAGGACACTCAGCGAACATCAAAAATATCTACTTAACAGCCACGCCCTCTCTCTCCTCCTCAGAACCACCCACGATCTCCTTCTTCTTCCCCGCCACGCCCTCTCTCTCCTCCTCAGAACCGCTCGTGCCCTCTCTCTCCTCCTTCGCACCCTCTCTCTCTCCTCCCTCCCAGAACTGCCCGTCCCCTCTCTCTCCTCCTCCCTCCCGGCGGATCTCCGGTGCCGCCGCGCCCGCGCCCGCGCCCTCTCTCCTCCTCCCTCCCTAGATCCGCCCGCGCCCTCTCTCTCTCCTCCTCCCTCCCCAGATCTTGCCTCCTCTCTTCCTCCCTCCCCAGATCCGCCCGCCCCTCTCTCTCTCCTCCTCCTCCCGGGATCTTGGCACACCACCTCCTCTCCTCTCTCCTCCTCCCTCCCTAGATCCGCCCGCGCCCTCTCTCTCTCCTCCTCCCTCCCCAGATCTGCCCGCGCCCTCTCTCTCTTCCTCCTCCCCAGATCCGCCCGCCCTCTCTCTCTCCTCCCCCTCCCCGGATCTCCCGCGCCCACAAGCCTTCTCCTCTCTCCTCCTCCCTCCCAGATCCCCCGCCCTCTCTCTCTCTCTCCATGCCTTCTCTCTCCTCCTCCCTCCCCAGACCCGCCTGCCCCCTCTCTCTCCTCCTCCTCCCGGCGGATCTCCCGGCCGCCACTGCCTCCTCTCTCTCTCTCTCTCTGGATGGAGGCGGCGGCAAGCAGCAGGCAGAGGTGCTGCTCCCATGGCGCATCTCCCGGTGGCGGAGGTATGCTCCGGCGGCACTACAACGGTGGATCTGGCGCGCCCCAGCGAGGAGCAGCCCGGATCCAGCAGGCACGAGCGAGGTGGCGGCGCTCCTCCACCGGCGATGCGGCGCTCCTCCTCCACCTCAGCTCTACGTCATCTCCGGCGCGCCCTCTCTCCTCTCTCCCTCCGACGAGCTCCCTCTGGCCTGGCAGCGTGGATCCGGCAAGCTCCACCACCTCGAGCTCTAGATCCGGCGGGTGGGTGGCGGATCCGGCGAGCTCCGCCACCTTGAGCTCCAGATCCGGTGCACCCCAGGCGGCGGAGGGGACGGCGGCGCGGATGGTGGTGGCAGCGGCGGCGCTGGTGGTGCGGGCGTGGTGTCGACGTGTTTTTTTTTATTTTTTTTTGAAAAAAAAGTTTGCCGGGTGTTTTTTGGGCACTCGGCAACGTCTTTGCCGAGTGCCCGACAAAAAACACTCGGCAAACAAGCGTTTGCCGATACAGGGGTTGCCAAGTGTTGTTTGCCGAGTGTAACACTCGGCAAACCCTTTGTCGAGTGTTTTTTGGGCTTCGCCGAGTGCCCCTGGCACTCGGCAAAGATCCTATATCCGGTAGTGGATTCTGAGTGTGGTTGGATACAGCACGACCTTGCTTGGACCTGTATCTGCTTAATGTGTTCTTCTACTATTGGTGTATTTCTGGAGATATCGTGTTATCTTTTGGTACTTCTTTAGTAGGGTCAGACATTCAGAAGTAGTAGCTATGATTCTTGCACCATATATACTTTACTTGATGTCATTACTCACTATCTGGGGGCACTGGAATATGATTTTTTTTTAACTATTGCTCCTGCTTCAAACCTCCTGCTTATATAGCTCCTATGTGCAACATTTCCATTGAGATGGTTAGTGGGGATAGCGTATAGAACTGTAAGTATGGCTCAATCCAATGTTCAGCCATTAAAATTCACAATATATCAATACACACATATAGGCATGCAATTCTAAACTGCTACCTACTAAATACTATTGTTTTACGAGGCCGTGGTGTTGGCTTAGTCGGTACAATGGTGGATATTGAACATTGTTTTATAGGGTATTAGTGACTGAAGTACTGAACCCTATGATGAGGAATTGATATGCTGAAACAACAGGTGTGAGATTTTATTTACTGAATCATTAATCGAGGGTATTTTTGAGCTGATTGTTGTACTGTAATGGAACAGAAATTAGTGGTTGGTTACCATGCACAGACCATGACTTTTAGGAACAGCAGGAGAAAGTAGTGGTCAGTTGTTTGTCTAACTGCTGTTGCGGGTTTGGGTGGTTAAATCCTTGTTCGCATAACTAAGGATTTAAAAGTTTTCATTGCAACACCCATCAATGGTGGAAGGAAGCAAGGAAATCGATTGGTGCTCCAAGTAAAGCAATTCGTTCTTTAATCATTCCTGCGACCTGAAAACAATGGAAAAAGCGCAATGCAAGAATCTTTAGAAAGATCGAGGTCCCTGTCATGATGCTATTGGCGAAGATAAAGGATGAGGCAAGGGCATGGTGTCTGGATGGTGCAAATAGCATGAGAGAACTTAACCACAAGCGTAGTGTACTTCATGTAGTCCTAGCTGGATGGAGCTTTTTGTCTCTTGAGCTCTTGTTTTGCCTCGGCCTTTTGTTTCTTCCTTTAAATCTACTGCCCCTTGTTATTAATCAATTGAACAGCAGAACTCCTGCCTGTGCGGCTTCAAAAAAGAAAGAATATTGCATGCCCATCAGTGTTTGTTTCTATTTTTACATGCCTCTTTCCTTTGTTTTATTTGTTGTCTGATTGTCCTAATCCTAAATGCAGATGGAGCAACCATCAAGCTCACCAACAGTGACATGGTCAGACCTCTCGCCAGAGCTCCTTAGGCTTGTGTTCCTCCGCCTCCCTACACGTGCTGACCGCGCGCACTTCCCTGCTGTCTGCCGCCAATGGCGCTCTTCCATGAGGCAGTGGCACCTACCACCCATGTCGCCAATGCCTTGGTCCGTGCTTCCAGGAGGCAACATTGTCAGATTTTCTCATGATCAAACCTTCCACTTGCCCGATGCTACTCGTTACCACAACTCTTGTGGTGAGTGGCTTCTCTTATCCCGGGATGACGACAGCTGCTTCATGTTGAACCCCTTCACCAATGCCACTGTGCAGCTTCCCAGCCTATCTTCATATATCTGCTATGATGAGCATGTAGAAACTGTCAATGTCCTTGCTGATGAGACGCCGGTCACATGGATGGATATCAAGGACCTAGCTGATATATCTGTAATCACGCTGATTGTGTGCTCCAAACACCTCATTGCTGCGATAGTTGGTATTAGTGGCCTTGGTACAATTGCACTATGCAGGCCAGGGGCTGCTGCATGGTCAGTGAGTGCACATGAGCAGTGCATGTGGCTCTCAGATATGGTCTTCTTCCAAGGGAAGCTCTATGCTATTGACACTAATACTGAGGACCTTCTTTCCATTGACATCGTGGATGAGCTTGACAATGATAGGCCAAGGGTATCTCGTATTGAGCGCATCATTGAGGGAGATCCCCAGCCACCCCAAAGCTATCCCGCGCCTATGCTCTGCCTCCTTGAATCCCATGGGATATTGCTGATGGTACGCAGGAAAATGAACTCCAAAGGATATCCGGTATACATGTCTGGAAAAGAAGTTACCGTGGAGCATAGTGCAGGTAGCAGCGACTTTCAAGTGCACGAGGCAGACTTGAAGCGTTTGTTGTGGGCTGAAGTGAGGAGTCTAGGGAATGAAGTAGCTTTGTTCATTGGGCGAGGGTGCTCCTCAGCTGTCCATGTATCTCCATGCATATGATCTTTCACGGGACTGTATCTTCTTCATGGATGATTACTCTAATCACAGTGATGGCCGGTGTCTGAAAACGACAACATATTGTGGTCTGTATGACATGAAAGACGGGACGGTCTATTCTCTCTTGTGGATGGTATCATGGAAGAGTGGATACATCCCTGCAACCTGGCTTTTCTCTGAAGGTACTCATATCGACCCTTTTTTTATTGTAAGCTTTATCAATAGATAAAACAAACACTTTGACATTTTCTTAGCAAAATTGAAATATCTCTCCTAGACTTTGCATGGTTATAGCTTGTTAACCACATGTTTCGGTAGTTAGAAGAAAACTACATGTTCCTTTTACCTGAGCTTGGCCAAGATTTTTGTTACTTTGGAGTCCAGGGAGCTGGTGTAGGTGTGCAATTAATAAATCATCAAACACACATAAAAAACTTTTCTTACTTCAGTCTTACCTCTTATTGAGGCTTTTGTAGATGAGAGTCGTGTTCTGTGTATGCATTATATGGAAGGGAAGCACCTTTATTTATTGTGATTTCTGTGGTCTTGTGATAGAACGCCCTATGAAAACGTGTGTTCTTTGAGACATCTCTCTGACCTTGGAGGATGGGGCATTGATGGAATGCTAACAGAAAACGATTCAGGGGAATATTTGTATGCAGCAGTATTAGGCTGTTTGAAGCGTAAAGAATCACTTTACCTTCTGCATTGTACTTTATCATCTGATCCACACCTTTTCTGCTACTTTGGCTAATGCAGGTAAGATGGACAAGTTGCGAACAATGGAGGAGCACCTTCAGGAACTTGTGGAACCTCCTACGAGGCTTCTATGCTGATGGATGCTTCCCAGAACTCACCGCCAAAAATAAAGAATCCCTGGCAAAATGCTGAAGGCGTGCTTGCTATCACTAGGTCTTCATGAAGTCAAGACTCGCCCTTGTTGCGTCTTGCTTCATTTTGGTGTCGTCGGTAGTGATACTTGAGACACGCGTTGTAATGAATTAGCGGTGCTGTCTACATTCCGCATTACTGCTCTAGAACTTGTGGACCCTTTGATATAATATATGATTAGTGGTTTCTGCATCTGTGATAATGTTGTTCCATGATTAATGGGCTAGCCAATATTTCGGCAAGAGAGCTTTTTAGTTTCTAGGACACAGTACTTGCCCAAGCATGGCACAAATCTGCCAATTTTTCTTCAGAAAATGAAAGGGTGATGGATGCAGAGAATGGACTGTGATAGAAGCTGAAGGGAGAAGTAGCCTGCATTTGATGATTGTGTACACTATGCTAAGCATGGAAAATACTGCTGAAATTTGCAACGAAGATGTGGGTCCGTTTGTGGGTGACAGGAATTAGGTTCCAGGCTGCAAATCTGGATGACAATGTGGGTCCGTTGACCACCACCTAAACTAAAAAATCGCTGTGACCATGAATCCAAAAACTGGTACAGTACTATAATAACACTACATGTCTATTTAACGATGAGGATGTTGCGTTTCTGAATGTTTTTGCCTACATCAAAACATGTCCACCACAATCATGAACTTTCCTAAGTGCACCTAGAAAAATGCACCAAAAGCCAGCTAACTTTTAAAACGAGCGCATGAGATCCACTCTGACCTCTTCTTTCTCTCACCCACTCAAATCCAACGGACCAGATTCTCTAGATGAAACCTCGTCACTCGACTCTCATCCCACGTCCACCTCGCGCGCAACTCCCTCCCTCTGCCGACGGCCACAGTTCGATCCCTGGGGCGCCCTTTTCCCCCCCCCCATTTCCTTAAGGGCCCGTTCGTTTCGAGCGGAACGGAGTGCCGGAACCGATCCCGGCCGAAAGGCAGCTGTATTTTATACCGGTTAGCTATCACCGGGAAGCGTTCCGACCGGGAATCGACGTAAACGAACGGGCCCTAAGGCTTCGTTCGTTAGAAGCCAGAAATGGCCTGGAACTATTCCGGACCCGGAACAATTCGATAATTTGTATTGAAGAGGAACTAATCCTGGCCTTGAATGGCCGGGAATGCCAAACCGAACGGCGCCTAAAAAAAAGAGACTACGCCCGGCCTCTGGGGAGAGAGAGCCACGGGCGACTCTTCCCCTTCACTCGCGACCTCTCGGGAGTCGCGACTCGCGACTAGGCTGGCGGCGGCACCTCCCTCTCTGGCCTCTCCGCCCACAGCATCCCTCTCCGGTAGGCACCTCCCTCTTCCACACCGACCGGCACCGTGCCCCTCTCTCCGTCCTCGGCGAGCGCCTCCGTCTCCTTCTCCAAGTCCGGCAGACGGCTGCGCCCAGCGCAGGCTCCCCCGCCAGCCGCGCCTCCCTCTCCCTCCCCGAACAACGCCTCCCTCTCCTGCTCTCGGAACGCCCGGAGGCTAGGGTTGCGGCCGACGGCGGCGCCATGAGGCGCGGGCTCCATGTTCGCCCGCGCCTCCATCTCCCAATCCGGCAATCTTCCCCGTCAAAACCTACCTAAACCCGCGCCCTTGCCCGCGATTCCAGCGTGGCTCTAGGTGCCGGCACTGTGGGAGGCAGCGACTATCGCGAATGGGGACGGCAACTCGGCTTCTCCAAACTGCTTCATGCTTTCCATGATCCACGTGCACCAGCTCTCCGTGCAGGTAAATTTGGTAGCTTCAGGCTTTGTTTCCATTTGTTAAAGCCTCCATGCTCAGAACATGTTCGATGATATGCCAATGCATGTGATGTATTTGTGTTTAGACGCCTCAAAAGGGCACATCAGCTATCTGCAGAAGTTCTCCTCATGTATGTTGGCGGCGTGCCCTTGTACACCTGCAGGAGGGTTTCTGTGGCACGACCCTCCATAGGTCAAAGCACTAAGCATGATAGCCTTTGTCTGAACATTCTGTATGCATTTTCAGTTTTTCACCAACACCTTGGGCCTTTTAAACATAGTCCCTGTAGCAAGAAATGATGCTTGTATACTTGTGTTTTGTCATACCTGTTTCTAGAATTTCAAATGTGATCGACAATACAAACAATTCCCTGTGTGCCATTAAAAAAGATCGCAATGTCCTGTGTGCCCCCGGAAAAGTTCAGCGGTCTTCAGCACCACTACTCCCACTTTTTCGTGTCCTCCATGCCACTTCCGTCAGTTTTGGCTCTAACGCCGTCAAACTGCAGGTGTGAAAAGACGAAAATACCCTTAAGTCAAAATATGTTATTATTATTTTTTGAGCATCTTAACAACTTCAAATGAAAAAACTCAAAACTAGAAAGTTGTAGATATCGTCGAAATCTATAATTTTCATATAAAAAATATTTTCATTTAACTCCGCAAAAAAATTAATATGATTTTTCTAAGATATATTAATCATATCAAATCATTTTTTTTGCGGAATTAAATGAAAATAATTTTTATATGAAAATTATTGATCTTGACGAGATCTACAACTTATCAAATCATTTTTTTGCGGAATTAAATGAAAATAATTTTTATATGGAAATTATAGATCTTGACGAGATCTACAACTTTCTAGTTTTGAGTTTTTTCATTTGAAGTCGTTAAGATGCTCAAAAAAAATTAATAACATATTTAGACTTAAGGGTGTTTTCGTCTTTTCACACCTGCAGTTTGACGGCGTAAGAGCCCAAACTGACAGAAGTGGCATGGAGGACACGAAAAAGTTGGAGTTGGAGTAGTGGCGCTGAAGACCGCTGAACTTTTCCAGGGACACACAGGGCATTGCGATCTTTTTTAATGGCACACAGGGAATTCCCATGTTAGCTGTGACGTGTGTTGCTATTTGCAGTCCTGAATGGATTCCTGCTAATGCAAGACGAACAGTCAGATCCTTCTAATCTGAAGAATTATGTCAGAGCCTCAGAGGTAGCTTTGCCAATGTGAATTAATCCAGGCTCGCCCTCCTGCTACGGCTACGGTATGTGTCGCTACAGACGGCCGAGTAAAGGTTCACCGGGCTATGTCGACCTCGCCACCTTCGACCTGGTGTGGTATCAATTAAATTAGTCACGCCTTTACTTTCAGAGTTTCACTGCGATGTCAAGCAAGCTAACAAAATGAATCTGTGAATATATCTATGCCTTGAGAGATCCATCAATATATTTTTAGCTTTTTAGCTTTTTTACTGGATGATCTGATGGCCAATTCATGCACAGCAGACCAATGTTCTATGTATCCATCAATATAATCACTCTACAATTCATTTTTAGCTTGGATCTTATGTTATCTCATATAGAAGACAGCCAAAACAAATATCGAGTATTGCCTTGGTTTTAAATTTATATGTCCGAAATGTCACTGTACCGTTAGCATCTCAATACTTCTTCAAAAACATGCAAACCTTGCACATCTTCGCTTTATTTTGTACATCTTATTGTTTTTAGCTTGACCTTTTCTGGTGCTAACTTGACATGTCTGTTAAATTTGCTAGATATGCCATGGAATTGCTAAGATTTAATGAAGCAGCTGGTGTTGAAGTAGTTGTGATGGCATATCTCCGAAGTATTTTCATACCGAGAGTTTTAAGTGCTCTTGATTGCAATATTATGTCAGGATGCAAAGGAGAGATGGGAAAGGTAGTCTCATGCCTTTTACAATTTGTTCCGCCAACAGGATAGAGTTGAAAAGATTTAATGAACTGTTTTTTTACAGGAGCAAGGTGATCTCAAGCTTCTTGTCAGAACACTGGAATCGGAATGAGCATTTCAAAGAGTTGCCGCTGTACAGATAACAATTGGATGTGTGAGTTCAGAATTATTAATGTATTATTTAACTTTTTCTATGTTACTTCGTGCTGAACCAGAAAATACAAGAGCAAACTTGTCTGCTGGATGACGCTGAGTCCAGGCAAATTCGGTTAGCCTGCACTGAAATCTACTCCTAAATGTTAAAAAAAATTGACATTGGGTGCCTGCAATTTCAATGCGAGAAATCTGATCAAGTGAAACATCCCTTATATCATGAAACTGTTTTCTTTCTTTGATACACAACCTTTTTTTTTTTCTGAAGTTCAATATCATCATAATGTGTCTTAGGTCTTGCTCTTTGTCATCCAGGGAGTTGCTGCAGGTAGTTTGGTGAACCTTGCAACAGTGTTGTACTTCAATTCATTCCGGGTGAGTTTGTGATGGGTGAAGGGAACAATGACCTGGAGTAGCAGATTTTCATAACAAAAAGAAATCAGGTGTACTTAATTGCTATCCTGAATTTTCACTTAATGGCTATCCTGAATTTTATTACATCGTAAATGCTTTGGATTATTTCATCTGCGATATGCATGTCATTAAATTTAGAAGCTAGCAGCCTTGTTTTCGATATGGTTAAAATATTTGGTTATACAAATTTTATCTTGTTGTGTATTTACTGTAGCGTTACCACAGTCTTTGGTTTATGATTTATTTCTTCTAGACGCCACCCTAGCGCTCCCCATCCCTCCAACGCTGGTGTGGGGAAGCTCCTCCGCACTGCCACACGCTCCTCCACGGCGCAGCCACGTTGATGTCCTCCCATCCAAGGAGCCCGCCGTGGAGGCGCTCCGCGGCACCGAGCCGCCCACGCGGTGGGTCACGCGGCAGGAGGATGGAAGACACGGCACACACATGACACCTACATCAGCGACACGGGACTCCATCGATCTGCCTCCTGCCCCATGGTTAGCCTCTTTATCTCCACAACTTCACCTTCCACCAGACCTAGATGCTAGACATTTTGATGTATGTGTGCTATATCTCCTTGCTGCACACGATGTGTTTGTTGAAATGGCTCAGATGATCCATATATCTCAGCGCAAGCATGGAAGGGCCAGAGGTGATCCGAGGCTTGGGTGTTCTGGAGGGATAGCCATTTCAAGAAGCTCCATGGGTCCCGTACCATTCGAGCCAAGGTCTGTTGAGAAGCCTGTGTCATTTGACAATATTTGTGTTAGGGCATTTGTATTAGATTGTTGTATAAGATAGCTCAAGTCCTTTTATCTTGCAGTATACTATTTGAGATTAAAAAATGTAGTGGTTGTTTGGTTAATGGGAAATAGGCAAGGTCTGCTAAAAAATCTTGAATGCTCCCCAACTATGTGCCATAGAAAGTATTGCCATATTGCCGTACTAGAGGGCCTGCCATTTTTTAGCCACATCTCAAAACCGCTGAATTAGAATGTATTGTTTTTACTAACACCGTATGTAGGTGAATTATCTGTATGTCTCTTGCATGATCGCAGAAATTTCACTATCTGTCTCACTTCCATTACCAGAGATTCTGTGAATTATTTATTTTGTAAGACTAATACTTGAAAGCAACCAAACTACCTGCTACTATGTGCAATTGCAAGAAGCAAAGCATATTCTTCATTACTTCATATAGTTAGAACTGCACACAGTTTGTAGGAGAGATCTGGTAAGGGAAATTCCTTTTTTTCTAACTTGAATGGCATTGGAGTACATGCACTCCATGAATGTGATTCACTATGACATGATGCAAGAATATATTCCTTTGACCACCATTGTAGTAATCACACAGCCTTAACTTCAGTTCTTATGCAGTACACCGAGACTTATGCAATCTAGGTTGATGTAATTATTGGTGTGTTCAAAGAATAAGGTCCCCTTAAATGTAGACGCCTACCTTTTGTCTAAGCTTCTAAACTTGTCGTTCTTAATTCAACTTAATTCTGTATTCACTAATCTGTAGTACTGATAGAGTATATAGCCATTGCAGGTCCAAAAGGTCAGTCGAATGTTTCTCATGTTTGGACATCACTTGAAGCAAGAAGACAACATTGACAGATCGGTAGCGGTAGCTAGAATTGAGAATTTATGTTTTATAGCTGGCTAAATGTTTCTGATGTATTTTTTTGTTACATATAGCTGTAGAATACACATTCTCTGAATGGCGTATTGGCGTATGTACAGGACAAATTTCTATAATATATTGAAAATGATGCAATGAATTGGAATCTCTCGTAATTCTTCCTGTACTTATTTATGTGACGAAATACCAACGTAGTTTGGTTATTTTCATGTGTATCCCTCAAATAAAGTAGTGGCGTTAGCATGGGGATTCTAGTTAGGCCAAGCTGCCTGATGGGCCGTAGCTAGGAGGCCCCTTGCTTTATTTCCTTGCAGCCCACGAGCCTCTAAGTTTCCTGCCATACACTTTCCCATGATAGGCGATCGATGATGGGCTCCCCGATAAAAAGAGAGAGAGAGAGAGAGGATGATCGATGGGCTCCGTCAAACTGGATGCAACATTTCCTCTAAAAAAAAAACTGGATGCAACATTCAAAGCCCAACTTCTACCACAGCTGTCATGGTAATCAATCCCTTTTGATCCTTCAGCAACCACAGCTAATCAATCCCTTATGATCCTTCAGCAACCTATAACTGCTGTCCAATGGGCCGATCTTCCTCGTGTGGCAAATTTATTTGGCATCTACGTCTCCATCCCAATATAAGTGCAGTTATAGTTTTCTTTCTTTCTTTTTTTTTTTTAAAAAGTGTAGTTATGGATATGTACATAGACAAACAAAGGTAGAGGAGGGTCTTGGCACGAGTGCTCGGAGCGAGGCGTGTGTTCATAGTCGTGAGTGCGTGTGCATGTTGTGGGCGTCTACATGGTACTGTGTGAAGGACGTACCTAGTGCAGAGAGCTCCCATTCTGTGCGGGGTCTGGGGAAGGGTGTCAGTGGCAAGCCTTACCCTCGTCTGTGCAATGTGAGGAGACCGCAACTCGAACCCGGGACCTTCCGGTCACAGACGATAAGACTCTATTGCTTGCACCAGGCCCGCGCTTCCTACATTGTACTGTGTATTTCTCAGAAGAAAAAAGATAGAGGAGCAGAGTCATAAAAGCTCAACTGCTCAAGGGAGTGACGCAAAGAAGATGAAGGGGGTTGCTCCGATCCTCAACTCTACTGCTGCTTCTTTTTTCTATCTCGATCGTACAATGATGAATGAAGTCTTATCATCGGGCTTGACCGCTTGAGTGCTTGGCTGCTTGACTATTGTAATGTAAATTAATAATACACATGGCCATTGTGCAACAACTGCACACGCATGAAAGCTAGCTGATGGATCGATCAGACTATGGCCGGTCGACCCATCAGGCAACGAGGTCAGCAACCACACAGCTGACACTACATTTTCTCCGTGCCAACTGCCATGGATGCATGCACATATTCGTTGATGTCCTTGCGCCGTCGTCTTCGTCAGAGCCATCATCAACTCGTCCGTCCACTACTGGGGCACTGGCAAGGCATATATAGTCGTAGTCTTCGTCTGCATCATCATGCTCTATATGCTGCATGTACAGTCCTAGGACGCATGCATTGACACACTGCACATTTCAGGGATTTTTCATGCGCCTATATATCTGTATGGGTGGTATGGCGGCATGGAAAAACTATGCCTGCAGCATATCTTCTCTCTTCACCTAGCAAAAGATCTTTCGACTAGAAATTTCCGGCCCATTGGGTGACATGCATACTTACTGGCATATATGTGGGCAACACATATATGTATTGATATGATGTATACTAGCTAGTACAGGTCTAGAACGAACCATCAAGGAAGAACAGTTAGCAGATTGGCCCTGTTCGCTTGAACTACCTCGGTAGTATTTTTCAGCGAACTAACAGTATTTTCTTCTCACAGCAAATCAGCATAAACTAAATTTTCTTCAGGCTATAGGTTCTAAGGTTCACACTTGAGGTACTGATTTATAAGATGTAAACCTGTCACTCCATCTTTTCAACTGGAAAAAAGTGCACATATACAGAGAGAAAATCGTTGCTGAAAAAGTGCAACCATCGCATGCATCCAGTCAGCATTGAAAAAAGACGGTGCTGCTGCTTCTTATTCGTTGTGTGACCACGTTTTCTTTTCTGGCGATGAACGTCGCCGTCGTCGTAGCTGACTTGGCATCGATAGGCAGAGCAGTTCTTGGCATGCACTTTTTCTACTGTTGCACGTACAAACATGCATGGTGGTACTGGTAGGGTAGAACAAAGGAAGTTTGCATAGTCATTTGTCAACAGCTATATAACAGCATCATTCGGTCAGGAACCATATGCGGTAAAACAATATCATGGGCAACTTTTAGTTAGGTCCCTAGCAGTTTAGCACACATGGTCACCGGCTCATCACAATCAGGTGTGCTATCAAATTTAGGATCGACATGGTGCATGTAAAAGCTAGTAAATAATGTTTTAACCTCCAAATTGCATGTGGGTCTGGTTTTCAATCTTGAACTACAGAATCGGGTAATAGATGCCCTTTAACTATCGTAACTAGACAAATTTGGTCATGTAAAATTTATAATTTATTATTTTAATTAAATCAAAAAAATATGAAGTTAGTGTGCCAGTATTCTTCTAAAATTGTTATCTATTTGTTGGTGCTATATTTAGAGTTATTTGGACCTTATTCATTTTAAATAAGGCATGTCTTTAAATTAATAATGGGCATGACTACGAGAAATAAAGCAATAGGAACAAAATTAAAAAAATAGTTTTAATAATAAATAACTATATATAGATCATAAACATATAGTGGTAACATTTTTAGAAAAAATACCAATTTCATATTTTTTGATTTAAAATAAACGAAACTATTTATAAATTTTTAGAAAGTAAACTAGATTTTAATTATAGATGATATTGATAACTACAAAACTATAAATAAATTCAAATAAAAAATTGCTAACTTAAAAACTATAGATGATATTGATAACTACAAATTTTGTAGATCATGTCATTACTAAGATTGTTTGATAACTTTAAATTTTAAATCTCAAAATCATAGAGCATAATTCGAATTTTGGGACTCTAAAAAGTTTCAAATAAAATTTTTGTCAACTACAAAGTTGTATATCTGCTTAGAGCATCTGTGTGTTACTAGTAATGAACAATAACAATAGTCGTTAGCTGCACTTAGCCACGTAGTAGTGCCCTGTTCGCTTGGCTGATAAGCTATGACTAAAAGTACTGTTTGCTGATTTGTTGTGAGAGAAAAATATTATTCGTTGGCTGAAAAAGTATAACTTATAAGCCAAACCAACGAGGCGTAAGAATACATCATGGACTGGACCGCACGCAGAAGATGACAAAATCGATTGGGCATCAACTTTTGTATTAGCTGCAGGCTGTCAGCTGGGCAGGGGACACTGCACGTCTAAACAACAGGTCCTGTGCAAGCGTGGTGATTGATCTTCTTGGAACCTCTGTGATTAATTTAGTGCCAAGCCATCTGTCCGATCACTGCTTTTAAACAAACAAGAGAGATAAAAAGGCACGTACACACCACACAAAGGGCGCGCGGCATAGTGGCGCAACTTTAGCCAACGCGCGGATGCGTGCATGAACATGAACAAGGTCCTTGGCTCCTTGCTTGTCTTGTCTGCCTGCAGTGTTGCTCGCTAAGTCGCTATTTGTTAATTAAGCTGGGCACGTTAATTAACATGGCCGACCGTGTCCGTGCATGCATGCATGTATGTTTTGCTAGCTTGGAAGGGGAACAAACGCAACAAACTAAGCTCGCGTACGTGTGCCGCGCGCCGTACGTACGTGTCGTCTAAGTGTGTGGACACGTGTGTTGCATTGTGGTTGGTCTAGTAAGTAGCACACAACGTAAACTACAGGTTGTTTTAAGGTCAGTCTCAATAGGAATTTCAAAAGAGTTTCATTCTTATTTAATATAGTGACACATCGGCAAATTTACTGTCTTGGTAACTTATTTATGAAGAGAGAGATAGAGAGAGTTTCATATAGATTTTTCGCTAGCACAGTTGCCAACACAAAAACTGATGTGGCAGTCTTGGTAACTGTGTGATGAAACTCTTCACTGAGATTGACCTAACAACTTCTTACTTAGTCAAAACTCTTCAATTTTTAACAAAATTTAAATAAAGATGCACGGTCGTTGTCTACATAGTCAAACATGATTCGCTATAGATACAACATGAAATA